GCGATCTGTCCTTCCCGGGCAACGCACGGTGGGTGGTCGGTCTGGTCGAAGGTGAGGGCAACCTCCGACCACCGCGCCCGGCGCGTCGCCTCATGAGTAGGGGCCGCGACCAGAAGCTCTCGCTTCATGGCCTTGAGGCTCCGGCGAGAAACGTGAGCACACGCTCCCCCATCGACAGTGGCAATGGTGGCCCCAGGCTCTTGGAAACCTAGGTCATCATCGCCGTCATCGATGTCCTCGGCGGGGGCCTTCTGTTTGGCCTCACTTCGCCGATTGCCAGAAGGAACCGCCGGGGACTTGCCCTCTCGGCGCTCCTGCCTCCTCTCCTCCTCCCACTTCCTCGTCCGCTCAGCCAAACTTTTGACTGCGCGACAGTCCGCGAGGTCGTGAAGGGAGGTGTTGTGGACGATGCACCACTTGCCGGTTGGGCGCTCCCTACTGGGAGCGCCGGCCTCCTTCTTTTTGTCGCTCGCAGGCCTCCCCTTTCGGGTGGCCCGCGAAGCGCCCTCGACGGCGAGGACATGACCCTCGTCGTCGGAATGGGCTGACCTCTTCTTCCTCCTCCTGTCACGCCGCCCTGTCCGAGCAGCGGATCCGGGGGCGGCCGAAGCTGCCACACCGGAACCGGAGGGGTTCCAGGTCCATGCCTCTTCCTTACGAGCCACTCGGTCCGCGAGCTGAAAAAGCTCCGCGGTAGTCTGGGGCTCCTTGGAGGCGATCTTTTCGAGCATGCGGTTGTGCCGCACACCCCCCCTGAACGCGTAGATCACCGCGTGTGCAGGGATGCATGGTATGGTGTTGCGGACTTGACAGAACCGCTGAATGTATGAGCGAAGTGACTCATCATCCCTTCGCTGGACTGCATGTAAGTCCGCTTCTTCACCTGGGCGCGGATATGTGCCTTGAAAGTTCATGGTGAACTGTTGGCACAAATCCTCCCAAGAGTGGACGGACGCGGGTGGCAAGTTCATTAGCCAACCCCGTGCCTGTCCCTTCAGGGCCATGGGAAAGAAATTCGCCATGACCCTGTCGTCACCCCCGGCGGCCTCGATCCCGGTCGTGTAGACCTGGAGAAACTCGGCGGGGTTGACGCTCCCGTCATATTTTTCGGCGATGGTGGGCCGGAACCTTGGGGGCCAACGGACGTTCCGAAGGCTCGCCACAAAGGCTCTACAGCCGACACCACCAACCGGGGGCACGGAGGGCTGATCCCCGCGTCCGTGTTGATGTGACACTCCGGACGAGGAGGCGCCCTCCGTTGCGTGGGCAGCACGTCGGCCATTACGCCGGCGCTCGATACTGATGCGGGCATCCGGCCCCCCACGCAGATCTTCCTGGGTCGGAGGCGCTGACGAAGGAGTGGCGGCCGAATGGCGAGCAACAGCCGCCGCTCGCCGCGCCCTCCGCCTTGACGACACGGAGCCGGTGGTAGCAGCGCCAGAGGTCTTGGTGGCGGAGGACCGCCCACCAGCACCTAGGCGCTGCCGTGCCGTCATGACCAAGTTGGCCACGTCGTCCAGCCAACGTTGGGCTGGAGACTCCGGGTCAGGGACAACGGGCGGGTGACGTAGGAGCGCGCCCGCAGCTTGGAGCGCGCCCTGGGGCGTGCTGCCGTCGCCATAGACGAGGAGGCGACGCTCCCCATCTCGGCGCCCTCCTCCATCACCCGTGGATGTCGAAGTCGCGGATCCTTCGACCCTCTCGAGCGCCTCCTCCCGCCTAGGACTTTGGCGTGGAGGGGGCGGTGGAGTACGAGCTCGACGGCGTGGGTTTGGCTCCCCGTCGTCACCGCTAACACTCGGAGAGAGGTTGTGCGCCTTTGCTTGTTCAGCCATTGGGCTGAACAGGAAAAGCTTGGCGCACACGAAAGAGTGCGAGAGCTTCGAAGAACACACGCAGCGCCCCCTACCTGGCGCGCCAGATGACGGAGCGTGGGGGCTCCTCACCGGGAGACCGCGCAGGCCTCCCTTTGCCGGTTCGGCCGGGGGCCCTGAGTGAGGTTCTAAGCTCCTAGCCTGTGGAAAGTTCGCGAGAGTGGAAACACACAAGACACGGGCGATGTATACAGGTTCGGGCCGCTGAGAAGCGTAATACCCTACTCCTGTGTTTTGTTGGATCTGTGTATGAAGAAGCTACAAAGTGCGAGCCAGCCCTCGATCGTTCTGGGATTGTTTCCTCTTCTCTCTAAGTGGGCAAGGTCCTCCTTTTATATCTCAAGGGGATACCACATGCACCATCTCTCCCTCTCTTTCTTTTGTGTGGGGACTCATCCTCTCTTCCCTCCAACTTGACTTCTCTTCATTAATGGACGGAGATTTGTATGGCTGCCGTCCGAATGACCTTCTGATGGGACGGCCCATACCTACCTCCACTTCCGCCGGAAGCAGGCGCGACATGGGAACATGGCTGTCTGCTGACGACATGACCATTGTCAGACCGGTCATAAATCGGTCATTCTTGTCTACCATGTGTCAGTTTAACAATCTGCATGTTCGCCCCTCTTCATACAATGTCTTGCTTGTAATGGTTAGGATGAAGCCTGGTATATATCTGACCGGGACCAACGTGCCATCTCCAGGAGCTAACACGCCGGCTCCGGCTAGGGACGAGTGCTTGGAGGCTCTCATCCTGACAGGATGGGGCGAGGCGTGCGTCAGACCGCCTGTCGCCACCTAACCCATGATCTGATCGGTCTGTGACTGGTCACAGACCGGATAAACGAGTGCGCTGCACTGCGTTACATGCGGCGTGACGCGCTCGTCCAAACCGCAATAAATGTGGTTAGGTGAGCCCCGCTATGCTCACCTACCCCATATACGCGGCGCAAAACCCACAAGGTATCGGGGCACCCTCGGCCCTCGGGGCCGAGACGGGAGCGGTCCGACCCCTCGGGGAGACAAAGAGAAGGTCGGCCGTATCACCCTCGGGCCCGACCCCCCCCCCCCGAGGGGGTTAGGCCACGTGGGTGATCGTGTCTGCCTCAAGTCTCTAAGTCATGATACTCCCGGTCCCATGTCACCGACAGTAGGGGAATAGCCATGCCTATCTCTGAAGTCGATATCCGGCGGCGTGTCTTGGCGTATGTTGGCTTGTATGTTGTGGCTTCTGGTGGGTGTATGTTGATTGTCATGGGTGTCTTCCATGGTCTCCTCTCATGGTGGTTCCCCCTCTGTCCTCCTAAGGGGGCTTGTATTTATACACATAGGTGTCCCCTTATCCAAGTAGAACTAGAGAAACCAATATAGATACAATCCGAGTAGTTCTTGTCGTTTCCATGTAGAACTCTGGTTGTCTTTCCTTATCCGGAACTCCCTCCTATACCGTAGGTTGTTTCCGTATAGGACATGGTATGTGGTGGGTGCTGCCGAGATTAGTCAACTACTATTAGGTATGTGGTATCCATAACCATGACACTATTAATAAGTTTATTTCTATTAAGTCGACAAGTTTTTACGCAATGTTTCATCAGAGTTCTAGCCGATGATTTATCTTGTGACGATTTCTAAATGGTGCATCGGTATCCCAGACATTCGTGTGTCACAAGGTATGTTATGTTGCGTCAACACTGTACCGCAGATGTTGCTACTGCCACCATCGAGATCCCTGGCTGGGGGTACTGTTTGTTTTTGTACGTGGCTCAAAGAACAGAACAAGTCGCGACTACTCCCATACTTCCAATAAGTCGGTGGTGGCTAGGAGGAGCGACGGTGGCGAGGAGGAGGCCCGGCGGAGGCGGGTCGGAGGCAGGGCGGCGCTGGACGACGGAAAGAACGAGGGAGGGATGGATAGATCGTGTGAGGGGGGAGAGCGGGCAAAGTTTACTATGCTGGCTCGATATGTTAACGTTCTCGGTTGGATTGGATCGTGAGTGGGCTCGGTTATTCTCTTGATTTGGTTCCGATTTTTTTTTTAACCCAGCACTGATAGGTGGTCATCAGTGCCAGCTTATCATTACAACCGGCATTGATGTGATCACGTGGAATGATATCAGTGCTGGTTTATTATTAAACCCCGGCACTGATGTAGTTTATCAGTGTCGGGTCTTGCTTATGTGAGGCTCTTGATGGTTCTGATGGGTGGTACAACCGTCAGCATCACTATCTGGTTTGATAAAATCGGCACAGATGCGTATTTCTGTGGTAGTACATTGAAAGCTTTTGTGAAAAAAAAAACTGTAAACAGTTTTCCACGCATATCCGTTGAATAATTTTTCTACACATATATATCCATTGAATATTTGGTGTGTGTGTGTGTGTGTATGCTTCCTATATATAAAAATCATTTTTGGCGTGTGTATATATATGGTTCCTATAAAAATCATCGGAGACAGTACGACCGAAGCATGCATGAAACCATTTTTTTCTACTAGCTATTAATCTTCCGACATATTTATAGCTTCAAATCTTGCAGAATTTTCAATCAATGGATGAAGCCTATTTTAAATGAAATAAACAGAAAAAAAGAGACAAGTGTACTAAGAATTGTAAATCTAGAGAAATTTTTTTGTGATAACTTTGTTTTAAAAAAATGTAGTTTTGTAATATTCCACTTTAAATCTATAGTTTTTGATAAATTTGGTGTTAAATCCGTAGTATTATGATACATCATCTTAAATCTATAGTTTTTATGATAATTTGATCAATATATATGTGGTTTTGTGAAATTTATTAAAATAATATTATAAAATCTAATTTTTGTGCACGGTAATTGAGTATAAGTGCTACTACTTCCGTTTCACAATGTAAATCATTTTAGTTTTTTCCACATTCATATTAATATTAATGAATCTAAATATATATATCTATGTAGGTTCATTAACATCAATACGAATATAGGAAATGCTAGAATGATTTACATTGTGAAACGGAAGAAGTATATAACTAAGTTTAAGCGATAAATGAATTTAAGTACTACTATTTAACTGAGTGTAACTGCAAGAACAAGAATCTCGATATAAGTTCCTACGGACGAAAAAGCGAAACACAGGAGAAAAAAATCCGTAGCAAATCCCATCTATTTTATTTGCAACAACGCATGGAAGAAAAAGATGGAAAACATGGAACAATTGCCTAAAGGGCTTAATTTTCCACCCCTTCGGAGTTTGGTTATTCACCAACTGTAATTTCTTCAGCACATGCACACGAGACGGTTAATATAATTAAGCTGCACGGCCCGCCTTGTGCTGCTGTGCATGCGTGTGGTTTTATTAAGAGTAAACTACACACCCGGTCCCTAAACTTGTATCGTTGTGCCATCTGGGTCTCCGAAATCAAAAAATACAGATTCAAGTCCCAGAACTTGCTAAAGTATGTCATTCCGGTCCAACATAGCCACCACCATTCCGCCATCCTACGTGGCGCTGACGTGGCATGCCACACGGACGCTGATGTGGCCTCATCAATACCTCTACATTGGCGCCGACAAATAGGACCCATTTAAAACTCTCTTTTCCACCCTTTTCTCTTTCTCCTTTCATTTTTTTCCTTTCTCTTCTTCTCTTTCTCTGTCGTACAAGCGGCGGGGGCATGCGAAGTAGCGGCGCTCCGACGAGCTTCCGACTGGGCACGGCTGCCTAGGAGCATCAGGGCGTCGACTTGGAGCTGGAGGTGTTCTCGGCTTGGGCGGGGACGTTCAGCGGCGGCGCACCGTGCTGACACAATGGCGGCCGAACAGGTAGGCAGCATGCGGGTACCGTGCCGGTGAGCTCCGACAGCAGGATGGCTCGGAGAGGAGAGGGGAAGGAGGGAGTTTGGCATGGAGAAGATGAGGGAGACCTCAATTTTGGACAACGATCGACGATGGCGACGAATTCCGAAGTCGAAGCCAGCGGCAATAACCCTAAGCTTCGGCCAGAACGGCTTCGCCGACGGCGAGCGCAACGGCAAACCAACCTCGCCACCCTCGCGGCGACGACAACGCCACTGCCGCCGTTCTTGAGCAGGGCGTCTACCATGCACAACACCAGTAGCATGTCGAGCAGCTTGGCAACGTAGTGGGACAGCAGGGACGTGAGCCTGTTGGGGCGCAACGACGCAGACGTAGATAGCCGATGACCCCAGCTTGAACATGGCAGTGGCGATAGTGCCACAAAGTTGTCGACACTGTTAACGCACTAGTCATCGCAGATGTTTGTCGCTGCCGCCACAGCCCCGAGCCATGGTAAACGTGCCGGGCCACACGCAGTCGCGCCGCTCCCGGCCGGAGTCTCCTCGATGATGCCCAGGACACAACCACGTCCATCACCGCGCTGGCGTCGCTGCCCACACGCTGCAGCGCCTCCGTCGACGCGGCTGCCGCGTCGATGCCTTCTTGCCCATGGACGCACTGCTGTTCATGTCATCAAAGAGACAGCTCGACCAGAGGCCATGGCTACGGTCAATGTAGTAGGAAGAAAAGAGGAGAAACGAAGAAAGGACAGGATGGGAATGAACAGAAAAAGATATTAAAAAAAGCTTTTTTATTGAGGCCCACTTGTCAGTTGGTGTAGAATTTGTGATGCTGCCACATCATCGTTCGTGTGGCGTGCCATGTAGGATCCTGGAGGTGTCATGGCAGTTTGGGATCGGATTGACACAATTTAATAAGTTTTGAGATTTAGATATGCATTTTAAGAGTTTGGGGACTCAAATAACACAGTTATACAAGTTTAGATACCGGCTATGCACTTTACTCTTTTATTAATCCGGTCATATGCATGCGGGGAACCAATGTAGTAGTAGTGTACTGCGGTAAGGCGTCGATCAGAAAGGCAGATCAGCTAGCACCCCTGGTTGTAATACCTACGGTTACAGTGCTCCGTCACAGGGGGTGTGTATGGGTCGCCTGGACCTTTGCCAGCGCAGTCCTGGATGCACAGGCCACCGTCCCGACTAAGTGCGTGCTTACCAATGCTCTCTTTGGACGACCAGACGCGCCGATGGAGCATGCCCCCGAGCTCCGCCGGCAGCGCCGCCACCTCCACCACCGTGTCCTCCACCGTCGTCCTCCACGCCGCCACGGCCTCTCCGCCGGCCGCCGCGGCAGCGGCGGCTAGGAGAAGCACGACGAACGGCGCACATGCGGCGGCGGCCAGCTGCACCGGCCGACACCGACGCCTTGCTCTCCGCGTCTCACCCTCCATATCGATCGCACGGACGATCGATCCAATGGTGGATTTTATAGGGGGGGCGTGCTCGCAAGGGTGCCTATGCTGCTAATGCTACTAGAGTGGCCCTCACCATGAACTTGGCATTATGATCGCAAAAACTGAATTTGCAAAAGAAAAATGGATGGCTTTATGCTGCAATAACTGGTGCACGCACGCATGATGATTTGTTCCACTGACCAGCAGCTTGTTAGTTAAGGGAACAAACTGATCAAATGGATCAATCGTGCTGATGATTTAGGCATGACATCAGTCAACAATCAGCGTATCCCTCTTTCGAGTTTGGACGACTGGTTGTTAATTAGTGTTTCGTCGAACTCAACTGTATCCTTTTCTCTGCATACGCCCTCTCTTTCTGTCAGTAATTAAGCTGCATATATTTGACAACTGATGGGGGCCACCAGTTAGTCGCGTTCGACAACCCAAAGCAGGAGGGTTAAACTTCTGCTTACCGTTAATTAGGTCGGCAGCCGGCAGGTAAACGTTGGTTGCGAGCCCAAATCACGGCCCATTCATATAGGTCCTTAGGTGGTTTCGACCCCGGCTTTATCCGACATGACGGCTGAGTCAGTGTGGGACCTACATGGCCCCACATATCAGGATGCCACTTCATCACCCTCTCTCTTTCCCTTCCTCCTGTCTCTCTCTCTCTCACTTTTTCTCCTCTCTGGGCAAGCCGGCTGGTGGGTGGGGAGGAGGTTGCCGGGGCGAGGCGGGAGAGGAGGTCCAGCGGCCGGCAGCGACGGAGCAAGCCGCTGCGCCAGGGTCAGAGTCCAGGGCGAAGACAAGCGCCGGCCGAAGGAGAATCAGAGGTGCGCAGCGCGTCTGGCCGCCGATAGGAGAGAAGTGCGGCAACGGCGCTCGGTGGCGAAGACGGGCTGAGACCGGGGGACGGCAGGGGAGAAGCACAGTGGCAGCTCGGTGGAGAAGAAGGGATGAGGCCGGGGGAGACCGGAGGCACGCGGCGCGGCCGGTAGGGGAGGCCACTGCGCGGAGGTCGGAGTCTGGGGTGAAGACGGGCGGCAGCCGGGAGAACCGGAGGCGCGAGGCGAGTCCGGCCATCGACAAGGGAGAAGCACGGCCCAAGCTGTGGGAGACAGAAGGCACATAGCGTGGTCGGTGGCTGGCAGGGGAGAAGAGCGATGTCATAGCTTGGTGGCGAAGACCGGCTGAGGCCATAAGAGACCGGAGCCCACCGCCGTGCTCCCCCCATGCTCCCGTCGTCGCTGCGTCACCGGCCGCCGGATCTCCTCTCCCGCCTAGCCCCGGCGACCTCCTCCCCACCCGCTGACCGGCCTGCCCAGAGAGGAGAAAAGTGAGAGAGAGAGAGAGAGAGAGAGATATGAGAGAGAGAAGAGGAGGAAGGGAGAGGAGAGGAAAGAGAGAGGGTGATGACGTGGCATCCTGACATGTGGGTCTCACGTTGACTCAGCCGCCACGTCGGATAAAATTAGAGTTAAAACCTCTGAGGGACCTAATATAAACTGAACGGTTTTGTAAGTTGAGGGATGTCATGTATCTGGTTTTGCAGTTGGGTAATGATTTTGTAACTCAATGACAAGTTGAGAGACCTTCGGTGTACTTTTTCCTTCGGGAAATTGAACTAAGTTTCCATAGATGGGCCGTGATCGATTTCGGCCTTGCCAAACGAGGTAGTGTGTGCTACAAAGGTGTACTTAAAGTCCAAATTATTTGAAGGTCTTATTTTTTGGATATATAGTGTTCTGGTGGGTTGTATGTGCTTATGTTTGTGTTTCATTATCTTAACCAATTTTGTACGTTCCAAATATTGACTGCTCCCTTTTGTTCTTTTCTTTTTACACAATACAGTTGCGTGGTAATTTCACTGAAACATCGGTTCAGAATCCCGTTGCCACATCCTTCTGCCCAGACCCCTTCCAATTCTTCACCCTTCTCCTGAAACTTTTGATCGAATGCACTTATCCACAGGAACTAGTGCTATCCTTCCATCTGGGATGCATTCCTCTCCCTGTCCTTTGAGGTAATTGGAGTTTAACTCCAGTTGTAGCTTCAACCTGTTGCGGTGTTGCCTTCGATGCATGTTCAGTTCAATCGAGTGCTTGTCACTGCCTTCAGATGCCAAAGTCATCATCGTCACTCTCATCCGTCATCACATCACTCTCCATAGTTATTTAATTGTACTTCTTCGTCTGAATGCTGTAGGCCCTGCAGTTTGATCATCTGCGTTCACTATATACCACAGAACCGTCTATCACTATCGGTTCAAAAACAGCATCACTAGCTGTCGGTATTTTATCCGGTACTAGACTTGTGAGAGTGATGCTCAGAGTCATCACTACTGGTAATTCCAGTGATACTTGAACATCACCGAGAACCGGCAGTGGTACGTAAATTCCCAGTCGTCCACACACTTGCATCACACATTCATCCAACAAAAGAATTTCACAGGTGTTTTTTATAAATATTCTTATACAGTCATTATAGAATTTTCAGCATACATGTTAAGTATTCTCATATTCGGTTACAGATTTTCATTCATACACAAGAAACTGAGATACAAAATTTGCACGCATATTTTCACAGCTAGCTAGCAGCAGATTTTCAGAACTTGCAGGAGCAACAAAGTTTCAACAACATGGAAATTTTCCATCAGAAAGAAAAAACAAAGAACCACAAAAAATTTCAGGCGCCCCCCATAGGCCACAGATATATATTTGGTTTAATTATCATCGCCATCTCACTAAGACTGATAACATGCTCATCATCGCGGTAATCAATCAATTGATACGTAACATCAACAGGGAGGAAGAAGAAAGACATTTTTTTTTGTAAAAAAAGAAAAAGGTAATACGACTGGTACAGACCCAAAATTCAGTTTCATTCAACAACATTTCATCAAGACGACGTACGTACTCAACACGATCGGTTCTGGAAGATGCAAAGGTTGCCCCTCCCGGTGTAGGGTCTGCCTGGGCGCGAGCAGCTGCCGATGCACCTCTGCCGGTCGGCCACCAGCGACGGGTCGACGTAACCACCTCGCGCCTGCAGGACGCGCCGGTGTAGCTCATGGTCATCGTCCACTCCGCCGCCTGCCGCCGCCGCAAGCACCATCGCCAGCGGCGCCGCCTGAAGCTGGAGGTCGATCCCGACGGTGTCGTCCTCCATCCACGCAGCCGCCGGAACTGCTCCTGTGGCAGCGACGTCGACTGCAAGGAGAAGAAGGCAGCAGGCTATTGTGGCCTTTCTCTCCATCTCTTGGAGCTAGGTTCTCTCCGAGTCCGTCCTTCTCTGAGCACCGGTGGTTGGCTCTCTCTCATCGCATTCCGGCATTATTTGATCTGATCGTATGCATGTGAACCTGACGGCAGGGCCCACCCCTACGACTGAGGCCGACGGAATTTTCGACAGAAATGCTCCCCTGTCGGTTGCCGGATGGGAAGAGAAATATCGGACAACACACCTCAGCCACTCACTCTATCGCTCACCCCCGGCCCCCTCTCTCTCTCCCCAGCTCAATGTAGGAGGAGAGGATCGACGCCGGCCCAAGCTCGATCGATCTGCGTCTACGTGCAAGGTGAGGCGTCGCCGCGATTCATCAATTAATGGGAACTAGGAAGGTCGCGCGGGTAAGTATCTTTTTTCACATGCGTTTGACCATGTCTTATTTAATATTTTTATGCAAACATGTGAAAATGTAATTCATGCATAAGTTATAAACCAAGTCACAACAAAATAAATAATTATTATTTATTTTAAGATAAATAAATTATCAAATGTGTACCAAATTCAACAGCGTCATCTATCGAAAATTGTACCTATAATAATCGTACAAAATTTTCAAAATTATTCTTTATCGACATTGTTTATTTTTAAGCTATTTGTTACATACACATGTTTATAGATCAATACTAAGTAAAATATAAGTATATTTGGATTTTGGTATGGTGTTTGAGATGTCGGATTTTTTCACAATTTGTTTCTTTTCGAAAACTTATTTTACAAATAGACTCATGAAAAACTTATTCCAGGAATGATCCTTTTTGGTGCGCCAGACTGACTGGCGTTGTCATCCAATAGGGCGGTTCCATCACGTCTGGTGCCGTCCCCATGCCATTGTGGCACTGTGTGGCCAGCCTGCGCTGACACGATAGGAGGACGGCGCCAGTATGCCCCCCCCCCACGGCGCCAGAGCATCCGGCGCGCTCCCCCTGGAGGGTGGGTGGCATTTATCATGCGCAGGCCACGCTTGGAGCCGTTTTTGCAGGATTTTTGTGGGATATCCAAGAGCAAGTTATATATACTCATCTATTCCCCTTGTCTTTTTCTCGTTTTAATTGGTGAAATTTGCTGATCAGAGGGTAACATTATAACCCATTTTTTTGTCCAAATTTGTGAATTTGAACGTTGAAATTGGGGATTTGTTGATTATAGTGTTACATATGTGCAATGTGCTCGTCAATGCTACGGTTTTTTAAGTATATATGTGGTAATGTTGATTATGTTTAACTTGTTTGATATGCCACTATTTTAAATATGCTTATATTTTGCTTCTGAAAAAATATACTTTTGAAGTGTATAATAGGATAATCCGCATATTAAATTGTTCTCTAATATTTGCAAATCTGTTTATAGCATGTAGACTGTTAGAATATGGATCCATGTACCATATACTTCTTATAATATAGGTATAAATAATAAATACTAATTAATTTTTTTATATTAATTATTAGCTAGAAAATAGGAGAGATCGATTAGCTAAAAGAATAAGAGGAGATGGGAGAGGAGAGTCCGAGGGGGAGGGAGAGAGGATTAGCCGGTTTATTTCTAAACATAATAGATCTAATCAATTTAATTAGTGGGTCCACCAGTTAATAGAAAATCAACGGTTGAGATTTATTTCAGAATATTTAGGAATTTTCTAATTTATTAGAGTACCACGTGGCGGCTTAGAAGTGTTTATAGAAATCCTACGTGACGGCTTGAGAGCGTTTATAGGAAGTTTATTAGACTTTTAGTATATAATACGGATTATTTCTAAACATAATAGATCTAATCAATTTAATTAGTGGGTCCACCAGTTAATAGAAAATCAACGGTTGAGATTTATTTCAGAATATTTAGGAATTTTC